GACAGCTTACAGGTCTGCCCTATCCGTGCATATGAAAAAACATACTGAGGAAAGGCCCTACATGTGTGGGGAGTGTGGATACAGGACCACTGACATGTCTGGCCTTCGGAGGCATATGAGAAAACATACAGGTGAGAAACCTTACAAATGTGACCAGTGTGACTTTTCTGCTTCTCAGAAATGTAGTTTGGACCGACACATGGCTCAACACCCTGGAGAAAAACGATGTGTGAGAAGTGTGGATGCAGGACAGCTTACAGGTCCAACCTCCCCAAGCATATAAAAACACATACTGGGGAAAGGCCCTACAAATGTGACCAGTGTGGTTATTCTGCTGCACAGGAAGGTGATTTGGACCGACACAGGCTAAACATACTGGGGGCAAACCCTACATGTGTGGAGAGTGTGGATACAGGACAACCGCCAGGTATATCCCATCCAGACATATGAAAAATCATACAGGAGAGATGCCATACAAATGTGACCAGTGTGACTATTCTGCTGCACTCAAGACGACTTCAAACCTTCACATGGCTAAACACACTGGAGACAAACCCTACAAAGGCGATCAGTGTGACGATTTTGTTGCACAGAAGCGGTCGTTAGACAAACACATTGCTAAACACACTGCTAAGAAACCGAGTATGTGAGCGTAGTGCGGATGGCAAGCATATCTCATCTGTCAACGTCCCGCATAGGAAGAACCAAATAGGAAAGAAACCACACAACTAGTTCGGAACTTTCTCAATTTTAGCCGAACATAAGGTGAAAAATGTTACACTGGTAACAGTTGTGCAGTTTCGTTAGCATAAAATTATAGTATTCAGAGAAGACTATTATTTCTCAGAATAGAGACAATCGTTAATAAACATTCAAACATGGGAAGCCTTACATTTCTGAGGTGGGTGCAAACAGTTCTGCTGACGGTCAGTCCGATTTAATCACAAACACACAAAAAAGAAGCGTACGTTAAAAAAATGTACTTGTGTCTTAAAGTGACTGACATGTTTGTTAAGCAGAGGAGGAGGCAGGAGAAGCCATGGCCAAAACTTTGCTGAAGAAGGGAGTCAGAGTCGGGGGACACGTCGGGGATGGGGACGGAATACCTACGGAGGAATGGCGAAAGTGATGCGTTAGGAGGCGGGGCAATGAACCAAACAGGAGCGTTGCTATGTTCATCTAAGCAGAAGTGTTGCAAAGAAAATCAGCACCACAACGTTCTCTAAAAACATGTTTCCGGGGAAAACTGCCAGCTTACGACAAATTATGAAGAACAAGTTTGGTGATGATTGGTGATGATCTGGCTCAGCGCCTAAATGCTGAACACCATGCAGCCATTGCACGGATGGGAATGAGAGATAAGCTGGGTACGGGAAGAGCGATGAACAAGGCCATGGAAGTCATATACAGCTGCTATATATATATAGGTGCATGAATGTGAAAATTATGTGAATTCCGTGCAAAATTTTAATGAAATGTGAAAAAATGTGATGTAATGTGAATCCCATTAGAAATATGTGAAACCCAAAATGTGATTTTTTTTCAAAATGTGAATCGTCAAATGTTATTTTATGTGAAACAATGTAACTGTTTGAAAAATGTGAATCGATTATGTGAAATCACACAACCCGAAAACATGGCCAAAAAAAATGTGAATTCAAAATGTGAGAAGATGTGAAGAAATGTGAAGCGGTTTTACCCCGCAAACTGAAAGGAGTCAAATGTGAAATTATGTGAAGTTCAAATCACATTTTTTCACACAAGAGGTCAGAATGTTATTTTATGTGAAAATGCTTCACATAATTTCACATTTGCCTATGTCCTAGATGATTATGTGATTTTATGTNAAGGCAAGATATGGATAACAACATTTTGGTCCTTTCAGTATTATAACATTTGCAGTGTAATAAATAGTGTTCTGGTGTCTCATTTGGATGCCCACATTTGCACTCGGGACTACTGATACAGTGATGCTGGAATAGGTGGTAGTTCAGCTGGCTGAAACCAAGCCTGAGTCTGGTAAGGTGAGTCACATGGTGTCCGTGGCCGTGAGAGTAGTGAGGATGTCTGGGCATGCTATCAAAGCAAGACTCTAATTCATTTTTGAATGCACGAATGGATGGGGATTCTTTGGCGGTCTGGGGTAACTTGTTCCAAGAGAAAACAGCAGAAGGCAAGAAAGATTTTTTGTACTTTTCAGTTTTGAGGGTAAAAGGGAGATAATTCTGGTCAGTACGCAGGCCATAAGGGGTGGAATCACGGATAAGTGGGGGAACCAAGTCTTGTAGATATTTGGGAACTAAGCCATTGGCCATTTTATACAAGTGAACAAGTTTGACCTTTTCGCGTCTGTTGGCAAGTGTTTCCCAACCGACGTCACATAGAATGCGGTGGTGATTCGTCCCTCTCATTGCGCCTGTGCAAGCCCGGGCAGCGGACACCTGGACTGACTCGAGGAGGTCTGAATCCTTCTTAAGAACACCACACCAGGCAACATTGGCGTACTCAAGTAAAGGACGTATCATGGCTTTGTACAAGATTTCAAGCGTTTTCCGTGGCACAAAATTTGATATTCTTGTCAACAAGTTAACTCGCTTCATTGCTTTCGTCACCAGAGTTGACACGTGGAGTGACCATGATAAATTTGGAGTGAGATGTAAGCCAAGGTGCTGGTGAGAGGGGGTTTCAGTCAGCTGAACACCTCTAAAGTATAGTGGTGGGTGAAGAACCTTTCTTCTTTTAGAGGAAAAAGTCATCAGTTCTGTTTTGCCGGGATTGAATGTTACAAGCCACTGGTCTGACCAGTCTGACACTACACTGAGATCATGATTCAGTCTGTTCGCTGAGACAACGGGATCCATGATTATCTCTAACAGTGCGGTGTCATCAGCAAAAAGACGGGAATCTGTTCGTAGGTTGTCAACAAGGTCATTTATAAATACAAGAAAGAGCAATGGGCCGAGAAGTGACCCTTGTGGAACACCTGCATCAATTGATAGCCATTCAGAGCACATCCCGTTTATAACAACTCGCTGTTTACGATCGCTCAGGTAGGATTCAATCCATACTAAGAGAGACCCAGTGACTCCTAGTTGTCGCAACTTAAAGATTAATCCCCCATGCCAAACCTTATCAAAAGCTTTAGATATGTCAAGAAAAACTGCACGGGTTTCGAGGCCTTGGCCAAGTGCTTGATGAATTTTGTTGACTAAATAGGTCAATGAATTAACGGTGGAATCTCCCAAGGCGAACCCGGCATTACGGTCAGTGAGAAGCTTGTTCCTGTGGAAGTATGAGGACAGTTGATTATGGACTATTCTTTCAAAGACCTTTGACACACAACATAGGAGGGATATGGGTCTGTAGTTTTCCTTAATCTGCTTGTCTCCTTTCTTGTGCACGGGCACAACATTCGAGCATTTCCAAATTTTTGGAAAATGTCCGTACTGTAGTGAAACGTTAAACAATGATGATAAAGGGGCGGCTAGTGACTGGGCAACATTTTTTAAGAGTCTATTTCCTAGGCCGTCGGGTCCTGTGGCCTTGTTAACATTAAGATCGCACAAAACTTTGTAAACATCAAGGGGGGAGCAGACGATTGAGTCAATAACAGACTCTGTTCTAAGAGTAAACAAGGGAAGAGAGGCGCCCAATGTGTTGAGTTGCGTTTGAGATGCAAAGTAGCGATTGAAGACATTAGCCTTGGTCTTGTCGTCCGTAACAGTACATCCGTTTTCGAGTAAAGGTGGTAACGTACGATCAATCTTACCCATAAAAATTTCTTTGGAAACAGACCACCAGTGTTTAGGATTAGAGGATGTATTTACTAAACCAAGACAGAGGCTAAGCCGGTGGTTGTACTTCGCTTTCCTAATTAGTTTTGTACACATATTACGGATATTAGTACTGTACTGTATTAGTATAGTAAGAAAAGTTGAAAACAGTTCTGTAGCTGGTGGAAACGTTGTACCAACCAGATCCTGACTTATTGACGAAAATATCATTATAAACGGTCTATAATTGTGCAGTTGTACATTCAGGGGTGCCATTGTATACAGTGCAATTTTACGGCATACAGTGCATGTTTACTAGTATACAGTGCAATTTTACGGAATGCAGTGCAATCGTATTAGTATACAGTGCAAGTTTCCGGAATAAAGTGCAATCGTACTAGAATACAGTACAATTTTACGGAATACAGTGCAATTTTACTAGTGACGTTGAATCACGTGACTTGGACCCAGCTTTCCCTGACTTCTCAGTTTCAAGATGGCGGACGCCGCTGACTCATTAATACTTCTGTCTTTTTCCAGCGAATTCGTAGTAACATGCCCTGTGTAGTGAATTGACTAAAGGTCTATCTATGAGAAAGGTCCAAATTCGCTCGAAAAACACAGAAAGACGTGAGCACGCTCCGTCAGCGGCGTCCCTGAAAAGCCGGGCCCAGGTTACGTCATTACTAGCAGTAAAATTGCACTGTATACCAATACGATTGCACTGTATTCCGTAAAATTGCACTGTATACTAGTAAACTTGCACTGTATACTCTGGCTCCCCTGACATTTGAATTATTATATAGTTGCTACTATGTATATGATATATGCTTGATATATATGCTTTATCAAAGACCTTAAACCAAATTTTCTTTTGTAAAATAGACTATTCAAATACATGAACACATGTTCAATGAACAATGGCAATTTTTTTTAAAAATATCTAGGTAACCCCTCAGGCTCTCACGTCGAAAAATTAATATTTTCATAACTTTGTTCAGTACATGCCTATACTTTATTATAATTTACATTGCTGTAGCCTGTACTGTACGAGTTGTGAAAGATAATGAAGTTTTGATATAGTAAGATTTTTAAAAGAAGAGAACAATTATAATTCATTTAGAAAACGATGTATCAATCAAATGTCCTGGTATATTTACATTCGATGTGCCCCCCTCCCTATGTATATCTAATCCCTTAGATTAGAATTTTCATGCATCATGATTTGAAGTATCTGCTGCAGTATCTGCTGCAGTACCGCGATACAAAGCGGGTAGGAGGTACGCAAAGGTCTTACCTGTCTATCAAAACTACCCAGCGTAGGTTAAGAGTTGAAGTAAGCTTAAAATCGACTCGTTTGGAGACAAAAGACACCCCTTGCACGTGTCAAAATGGCGGACAAGCGTAATCAAAGGTCGAAGCATACAGATGGGGCAAAGGTTAAAGTTGAAAGACCTGATTACCCAGATCCAGGTTTATGTCCCTTAGAACGTCTTCCCGGGTATTGTAATTTTGTCTTTCGGCTTAAACGACAATTTGTTCTACGGTCAAATCATTTGTGGCCAAGATAAAAAGGCCAAAAAAGACAAATATGAGGATGTATGCAGTGATAGTTTCGATATATTCGTATATATTAGCTCATTTTTGACATGCTATTATAATATATAAGAATGTTTTGTAGTAACTATTACAACATTAATATTTTCTAGTCGTCTTTCTTTCTTCTTTTTATCTTCTACACGTGTTTTAATTGTAGAATAGTCTTGTTTTAACCGATAGACAAAATTGCAATATCCGTCAAGCCGTCAAGTAGCTACTAATCTGGATAATCAGGTTTGTCAACTTTGACCTTTGTCACTATTGATTTGACCTTTGTCACTATTGATTTGACCTTTGATTACGCTTGTCCGCCATTTTGAGCCGTTTGAGGGTGTCATTTCTCTTCAATCTGAGGTGATTTCCAACTTACTTAGACTTTAAACCTACTTTTGGCAGTTTCGAAAGACAGGTAAGACCTTTTTATACAGCCTACACTCGCTGTGTCACGGTACCGCAGCAGATACTTCATATGTCGTAATGCGTAAAAAAAATCTAGGTTATTCATGGGGAGGGGGGCACATCGGATATACATGTATAATGTTGACATGCTATTATAGACAAAAGATAGACAAAGGATACTCCATGATTTTCTAATGTGAATGACTACTGGCCTTTACGGACATACTGGCCAAGGTGTTCCTAGAGTTATAATAATATAGACTTCGGTACTACAAAAACGTTGTTTTTTTTATCCTTCAACTTCCAATATTTTGTTTTAGTTCTAAGAACATTATGGACCGAAGAAGCTGTGAGATTCCTACGGACGAGCTGCCAACTGTGCACCCTAGGAACGAGACAAGCAGCAGCAAGGACCCGGCAACAGTCACGGGAGGACAGCAGGACAAGGAAGAGGACATTCTATCGGAGGAAACGTACGGGGTAAACTCTGTCCATCCTCCCGTACAGAGTCAAACAGAGCAGACGGACGGGCCTGTGGTGAAAGGTACTGTGGACAAACGGTACAAATGTGACCAGTGTGACTATTCTACTGCAAGAAAGGAGGCTTTAAACGAACACATGAATAAACACACCGGAGAAAAACCCCACATGTGTGGGGAGTGTGGATACAGGACAGCCTACAAGCGTAGCCTGTCAGTACATATGAGAAAACACACTGGTGAAAAACCCTACAAATGTGACCAGTGTGACTATTCTGCTGCACAAAAAATTAGTTTAGATCAGCACATGACCAAACACACTGGAGACAAACTCTACATGTGTGGGGAGTGTGGATATAGGACGGCTGTCAGCTGTAACATATCCAGGCACATGAAAAAACATACTGGTGAAAAACCTTACAAATGTGACCAGTGTGACTATTCTGCTGCACATAAAGTCAGTTTAGACATACACATGGCTAAACACACCGGAGACAAACCCTACATGTGTGGGGAGTGCGGATATAGGACAGCTTCGAGGTCTAAACAAACAGTTCATATGAGAAAGCATACAGGTGAGAAACCCTACAAATGTCACCAGTGTGACTATTCTGCTACAAAGAAATGTGATTTGGACAAACACTTGTTCAAACATCCCGAAGAGGCACCCCACATGTGTAAGGAGTGTGGATACAGGGCGGCTAACATGTCTTACCTAACAGTGCATATGGCAAAGCATACAGGTGAGAAACCATACAAATGTGACCAGTGTGACTATTCTGGTGCAAGGAAATGTGATTTGAACAAACACTTGTTCAAACATACTAACGAGGCATCCCGCATGTGTGGGGAGTGCGGATACAGGGCGCCTGATAGGACCCATCTAACTGTACATATGAGAAGACATACAGGAGAAAAACCTTACAAATGTGACCAGTGTGACTATTCTGCTGCAGAGAAACGTGATTTGGACAAACACTTGTTCAAACACACTGGAGAAAGACCCTACATGTGTAAGAAGTGCGGATACAGGACAGCTTACAGGTCTGCCCTATCCGTGCATATGAAAAAACATACTGGGGAAAGGCCCTTCATGTGTGGGGAGTGTGGATATAGGACCACTGACATGTCTGGCCTTCGCAGGCATATGAGAAAACATACAGGTGAGAAACCTTACAAATGTGACCGGTGTGACTTTTCTGTTTCTAAGAAATGTAGTTTGGACCGACACATGGCTCAACACCCTGGAGCAAAACGACATGTGAAAAGTGTGGATACAGGAGAGCTTACAGGTCCAACCTCTCCAAGCATATAAAACATTGGGGAAAGGCCCTACAAATGTGACCAGTGTGGTTATTCTGCTACACAGGAAGGTGATTTGGACCGACACATGACTAAACATACTGGGGGCAAACCCTACATGTGTGGAGAATGTGGATACAGGACAATCGCCAGGTATATCCTATCCAGACATGAAAAATCATACAGGAGAGATGCCATACAAAATATGACCAGTTTAACCATTCTGCTGCACTCAAGACGACTTTGAACCTTCACATGGCTAAACACACTGGAGACAAACCCTACAAAGGCGATCAGTGTGACGATTCTGTTGCACAGAAGCGGTCGTTAGACAAACACATTGCTAAACACACTGCTAAGAAACCGAGTATGTGAGCGTAGTGCGGATGGCAAGCATATCTCATCTGTCAACGTCCAGCATAGGAAGAACCAAATAGGAAAGAAACCACACAACTAGTTCGGAACTTTCTCAATTTTAGCCGAACATACAGGTGAAAATGTTACACTGGTAACAGTTGTGCAGTTTCGTTAGCATAAAATTATAGTATTCAGAGAAGACTATTATTTCTCAGAATAGAGACAATCGTTAATAAACATTCAAACATGGGAAGCCTTACATTTCTGAGGAGGGTGCAAACAGTTCTCCTGACGGTCAGTCCGATTTAATCAGAAACACACAAAAAAGAAGCGTACGTTAAAAAAAAATTATACTTGTGTCTTAAAGTGACTGACATGTTTGTTAAGGAGAGGAGGAGGCAGGAGAAGCCATGGCCAAAACTTTGCTGAAGAAGGGAGTCAGAGTCGGGGGACACGTCGGGGATGGGGACGGACATACCTACAGAGGAATGGCGAAAGTGATGCGTTAGGAGGCGGGGCAATGAACCAAACAGGAGCGTTGCTATGTTCATCTAAGCAGAAGTGTTGCAAAGAAAATCAGCAACACAACGTTCTCTAAAAACATGTTTCCGGGGAAAACTGCCAGCTTACGACAAATTGTGAAGAACAGGTTTGGTGATGATCTGCCATCTGGCTCAGCGCCTAAATGCTGAACACCATGCAGCCATTGAACGGATTGGGATGAGAGATAAGCTGGGTATGGAAAGAGCGATGAAGAAGGCCATGGAAGTCATACCCAGCTGCTATGCCGGTGACCACAGCGAGTGCCACCAAAAGTCCCAGGTATGCAGGCATCCTTCTGTGTGGAAGTTTGACAAGATGAGCGAGAAGACAAGAGGACTACTCCGTCCGGACAGATCGGACTGTAGAGTGTTAGGAGACATAATGAAGAAGAGACTTGGACCAGACATGCTAGAACAGACAAGACATGCAGCCGAAACCAACAAGCTGAATCTGTGAACCGTCAAATCACAAAGAGCCAACCAAAAAATATTACCCGTTTCCGCACACTGGCTGGGAGGCAGCCGGGAGGATAGCCTCTGCACTCCGCGCCTCCAACAATGGCACTGGGCTCTCCGTTGCAATGAAGAGACTGGCAGCAGGTATTCCACTCTCGAAGCACTCGAACGCTGTCAAAGCCCTGGAAGGGATGAGAAAGAGGCGGGATTATAAGCGGGCGTACAAGCAGGAGTCAGCAAATAAGAAACGGAAAAAGGCAAACATAATGAAGAAATTCCAGCAGTATGACGAGAGCAGAGAAGAGGGCACGTACAGGAGCGAGAAAGTGGAAGAGGAGCTGTCCAAGGGAGTACGGAAGTCGCCGAGGAAGAAGCCGCGCCCAGACTACAGACAAGATCACGTTTACAGCCAATCGGGAGATGCGGAGCCTGAAGACGACTACACGTACACGGGTTCAGAATCAGAGGAGGAAGATGTAGTCTACAGCTAGTTAAACATGCACGGACGATACGGACCGTGGCCGCCGATGCAATGCCCTAGGGACTGGCACGGTTTCCGACTGTTATTGATGTAGCCAGGTTCCAGGGACAGATGGTCTATGCGGGCACAAAGTGATACATGACATAAATGAGATACTTGTAGATCTGTAATGTCCAGATTACCGGTGTAAGCCATGTATGCCATCCTATGGGCGTGCAACTTTGTTCGCTTTTCTAGGTGCCTCCGAGACATCCACGATACGTTGATCATACCGTAGATGATGCGTGATGATGCTGTCTTCCCCCCAGTCCACAGTAAACAAGGTTTAGTGGGGTGGGGACGAGTCTTTGACTGTATTTTCACTCTGTTTTCCCGACACCAGTGGGCACACAGCCTATTGTAATTATCCATGGTAAAAACAGGTGAAAATGTCCGAAAATGTACAAAAGAATGAATAGATGATGGTTGAGAGGAATCTTCACACGTGTCTAGTGTCTTTTCAGGTCAAAGTTCAGACAGACAGGGGCGAAAACAGCCGTAAATAGCTCAGAATCTCTGGGGAGGGGGGCAGTCCAAAACCGTATAGGGGAGACTCTTCTTAAAGGGTGCTGCATTGAAACATATAGAAAAACAGGCATAAAAATGGGCATCATATATCACCTTTACAAAGTTTTAGTGACACAAACTCACCTTCATATGTTAGCCCATTTATTGAAATGGACCTACAAGACGTTTCGGGGGAAAGTGGACGGCGAAACTCGAACTACAGCTGTTTCCCAAACACAGGCGCACTTTGACCCCATATCCCAGGTTGATTCCAAGGTGGTAGGCAGGAGGGGTGTGTGGCAACAGAAAAGCTAATAACAAGGCAACTTCATGAAAAACCTCCACTTTTTTTGCAAAAACATTCACTCAAAACCCTACTTTGTACGATCCACCACAAAAATGCCAAGGGTTCAACAAAAGTTCCACCAAAAAAACAGTTTTAAAGTTATTTAGCTCATTTTAATTTTGCATTTCTCTCCAATCTGAGGCGATTTCCAACTGACTTCGGCTCTAAACCTACTCTGCGCAGTTTTGATAGACAGGTAAGACCTTTTTCTACAATCTACACTCGGTGAGTCGCGGTACTGCAGCAGATACTCAAATCGTGATGCGTGAATTATCTAAGGTTTTTTTTTATTTATCTAAGGTTTATATGGGGAGGGGGGTGGGCAGATCGACCTAGATAGGACATCTGATCATCTGATACTCCATAGTTTTTGCAATGTGAATAATCACCGGACTTTTTAAACATACTGGCCATGGGGATCGTAGGGATCCACAGAAAGTAAATTTTATGGATGACATCTTTCGCAGATTCCAAATCTAATGCGAGCGGGCTAAAAAAAACAAGGCGGGCAAAAAAAAGCAAGGTTCCTTCAATTTAAAATTTTGACTCAATCATAATTGTACAAATGGCTTTTGAGTCAGTAGGAGCATCACATATACACAGCCAGTATCACATATCACTGCATCAAAGTAAGAAGCATGACATCAGGGCCTTTTCTTGTCTCCTGTCTTCATAGTTATCTGACATCCACCTTCCGTCTTGGCATGACATCCACCTTTGCCTTAGCCTAGATGCCAGACTCAGAGCACACTGGACACAAAATATCTCAGTGTGCAAGGATATTTTGTGTCCAGTGTGCTTTGGGTCTGGCATCCAGGCTACCTTTGCCTATTTTCGGAATGTTGATCACTGTCAGAAGGAAAAAAAAAATTGTCAAAATCAGGCGAAAATTAATGCGCGCGCTGATATCATCGATAAAATTACTTGCTTATGGAAATTTTTCTATGAAAATTTCTGATGTTTAATTTTTGGTCCTAGAAAATGATGGACTGGAGAAGCTGTGAGATTCCTGTGGACGAGCTGCCAACTGTGCACCCTAGGAACGAGACAAGCAGCAGCGAGGACCCGGCAACAGACACGGGAGGACATCAGGACAAGGAAGAGGACATTCTATCGGAGGAAACGTACGGGGTAAACTCTGTCCATCCTCCCATACAGAGTAAAACAGAGCAGACGGACGGGCCTGTGGTGAAAGGTACTGTGGATAAACGTTACAAGTGTGACCAGGGCAAATATTCTACTGCACGGAAAGACCATTTAGACTCACACATAGCTAAACACACTGGAAACAAACCCTACATGTGTGGGGAGTGTGGATACAGGACAGCCGAAAGATCTAACCTAACCGTATATATGAGAAAACATACAGGAGAAAGGCCATACAGTTGTGACAAGTGTGAATATTCTGCTTCGCAGAAAGACGATTTAGACCGGCACATGTCTAAACACACTGGAAACAAACCCTACATGTGTGGGGAGTGTGGCTTTATGACGGCTGATAGGTCTCACCTATCCAGGCATATGAGAAAACATACAGGTAACAAACCTTACAAGTGTGACCGTTGCGACTATTCTACTGCACAGAAGGCAAACTTAGACCGACACAAGGCTAAACATACTGGAGACAAACCCTACATGTGTGGGGAGTGTGGATTTAGGACAGCTTGCAGGTCTTTCCTAACAGTGCATATGACAAGACATACGGGAGAAAAACCGTACAAATGTGACCAGTCTGCTGCACAGAAAGGTGATTTAGACAAACACATGACTAAACACACCGGAGACAAACCCTACATGTGTGAGGAGTGTGGATACAGGACGACTGACAGGTCTAGCCTAACTAAACATATGAGAAAACATACTGGGGAAAAACCCTACAAATAAGACCTGTGTGACTATTCTGCTGCACATAAAAACAGTTTAAACCTGCACATGGCTAAACACTTGACACAAAACACATATGTGTGGAGAGTGTGGATACAGGACGGCTGACAGGTCTAACCTATCAAAGCATATGATAAAGCATACAGGAGAAAGACCATGCAGGGTTGACCAATGTGACTTTTCCACTATACAGAAGCGATATTTTGACAAACACAGGGCTAAACACACAACAGAGGAACGCCGCATGTGAGCGAACTGCTAATAACAAACTTATCTCGTCCGTCCCGCATAGGAAGAACCATACAGGAAAAGAACACAACCACTACTTCGGAACCGTTAGACTTTTAGTCAAATATACAGATGAAAAATGTTACAAATGAGACAGATGTGACTACATCATACATGGTTAAACATCCAAACAGATCTTCACATGGTCAAATCTCAAAAAATGACAAAACCTATGAGTATGAGTCTTGTTATTGCGGAAACAGCGCTGGTGACGGTTTTTTTTCTATGTAACCACAAAATCAAGCCTACGTTTGAGATTAGCCCTTTATGTAACTACTCGAGTTATTGCAAAATAAATGTGACTGATGTATATTAAGACGAATTTTTTTATATGTCTCTGTACACAATAATTAGTATTTTAATACATGTACCTTATTTTCCATATGCTGTGTTGATAATGTTCTATATCACTTATACATTGATCATAATACATGCGAACGTAATTAATAGAAACACTACCGTTCTAAAATCGTTGCCATATTTTGAACCATTATTTGTAGTTACTCATGTGTTTTATAGCTGCTAATGTTATTGTTTAGTTACGTTCTAATACTATATATAGTGCAAAGAAAGATTGAAATGCTGAAGCCTTTACAAACTTGTTGCACATGTTTATTTGAATTCATTGTGCCCACGTTGTGAAATGAGGTAACATGTACCATTCATCAAAATCAAAACTACATCCATTTGAAAAATATATTTTCCTTTTTGTCGACATATTTCTTCTTCTTTCTTCTACATCAATTGTAGTGTTCAGCACCGCAGAATAACTGCTGTTCAAAATAAAAATAGCAAACGATAGTCCAATATCCGGTAAGGCGTCCCTACCTACATATTCCGGGAACTGGGTAATCAGGTTTGTCAACTTTGACCTTTACCCCATCAGTATGGTTTGACGTTTGATTACGTTTTTCCGCCATTTTGAGCCGTGCGAGGGTGTCATTTCTCTCCAATCTGAGGCGATTTCCAACCTACTCTGGGCAGTTTTGAGAGACAGGTAAAACCTTTTTGTACAGCCTACACTCCCTGTGTTGCGGTACAACCGCAGATACTTGAATTATCTAAGGTATTCATGGGAGGGGGGCATATTGAATATAATGGGCAAAGACCGGTGATGGCCTCTCCCATTGAAGTGCATAAAAAACATGTAAGAAAGAAGGTGTGCAAAGTCATCTACCTGAGTAAAATCCCATCTAGAGCACACATTCATAGGGCCTCTAAACTGTCGAATTTGTTGATATCAAGAAATTCTATACTGCTAAAGGCATCTAAACGCTAGGACAAATTTTCATAAGTGACCTTTGACCTATATCACCAGCTGATTCTTCTTCTTCTTTACTCATCCTCTTCTGAGGTGTGAAGTTTTGTCGCCAGTACTTTCTGTCTTTCATAGCAGACAAAAGTTCCACTCCTTGTAGGCCAGTGTCAGACTGGATAAGACCCTTGAGTGTTGTGATTGGACGCCCAATCCTCCTTTTTGCCTCTGGAGTCCAGAGTAGCAATCGACCCGCTGGTTCTGTACCACGAGTCACATGACCCGCAAGGCTGAGCCGACGTCTTTTCACTACCGTGGTGATGTTTGGGAGTGCTCCATATAACTGTTTGTTTGTGATGTGTTTACACCAGGGTATGTTATAGACTACACGCAACATCTTAGTGTAAGTACTGTCAAGTTTCTTGGATCTCATAGTGTTCATGACCCAAGAATCGGATCCGTATAAAAGAATAGCTCCAATACATGCTTGAAATACTTTTGTTTTAGTTTGTTTTCTAATGGAGGATTTCCAAACTTTGTGCAGTGAATGGAGGGCGCTCCACGCCTGGGCGATCCTAACATTCATGTCATGATCACTGTCAGTGTAGCCTCCTAGGTACTTAAAATCGGCAACACGCTCAATTGTAGTACCATCGGAGGCTAGGGGATTACCCACTGATGTTGGGTTTAAGTGCATATACTTGGTCTTAGATGCATTTAGGTACAAACCAATTTTTTGGCATGAGTTTTCAACTCTGGTGAATAGGTTTTGTGCAAAAGATATACAGTTTTCCAGTAAAGCTATGTCGTCGGCAAAATCGAGGTCGGCACCAGCTGATAAGAGCATGCAAACTCAGGACTTCTTTTCTGGCCTGGACACCCCAAACATGGCACAAACTCATTTTTCTTACAAAATCAAATGGCCCAAAATATCCCTTACCTATGAACATCCATCTCCAAAAAAAACAACAGTTTCCAACATTAAGACAGTTTACACTATACTTAAGCGGTGCTTGGGGCCCTCTAGGCATGCGCGTATTCCTGGCAATTGCCCTAATGTATTTGTAGATAGGGCATCTGGTATTCCATAATTTTCTAATGTATAACACTAGTCTTTCCAAACATACTGGGCATTGTGGTCATACTAGTAGGGACACAGGAATATGGACATGGGTAGTATATGGACGCGTTTTCGAAGTTTCAATTTTAGAAATTTTATTTTTCATCTCAGAAAATTATGGACCCAAGAAGCTGTGAGATTCCAGCGGACGAGCTGCCAACTTTCCACCCTGGGAACGAGACAAGCAGCAGCGAGGACCCGGCAACAGTCACGGGAGGACAGCAGGACAAGGAAGAGGACATTCTATCGGAAGAAACTTACGGGGTAAACTCTGTCCATCTTCCCGTACAGAGTCAAACAGAGCAGACGGACGGGCCTGTGGTGAAAGGTACTGTGGAGAAACGCTTCAAATGTGACCTGTGTGACTATTCTTCTATACGGAGGGGGCATTTAGACCGACACATGGCTAGACACACTGGAGACAAGCCATACATGCGTGGGGAGTGTGGATACAGGACGGCTGACAGACGTAACCTATCCAGGCACATGAGAAAACATACAGGGGAAAAACCTTACAAGTGTGACCAGTGTGACTATTCTGCTGCATATAAAGTCAGTTTAGACTCACACATGGCTAAACACACCGGAGACAAACCCTACATGTGTGGGAAGTGTGGATACAGGACGGTTCACAGGTCTAGCCTAATTGTACATATGAAAAGACATACAGGAGAGAAACCCTACAAATGTGGCCAGTGTGACTAGAGTCAATTCCGCGTCACCGAGTGGGTTGTTATTGTCATTATTTAGAAATGTTTTGAATTCTTTATAATTGTTTGTCTAAGAAATTTCATAATTTGGAAATAGTTTGAACATCTTGTCAATATTCTAAATAATTCCCTGGTTTTCTAAAACGTTTGAAATATTCCTGATGTGGATTATGACATTTCCAATAGTTTCTAAATATTTCTAACAGCACTCTACCATTTTTTACCATTATTTCGAATTATTTCTAACATTTTGTACATAGGTCAGTGGGATGGGAAGGAAGTAATTCACACATCCCTGTGAAGTACAGGGCAGACTGCCTGGGTGTCAGGCATTGATGCCTTACAACAAAAGAGCCACCAGTGTCCAGCAGTGAAATCTAAAAATACACAGAGGAAGACAGAAGAGTAGGATTAGCACCTACTTTTATGGGGGCAATTACCCACATCTACCATTTGGTTATTTGTTTGAAATAGTTCTAAATATTTCGAATTGTGAAAGAAACACATGGGTAGTTCAAATTTATTCTAAAGAAAGAGATCTTTGTACAGTCACATTC